CACGTAATCACTCTCCCCTCCCCCCCCCAATTGGGCGTAGTAGAAAACCAATTGCATTGTTTTATTTGGACATGTTTAGAAGGAAATGACCACTGCAACAGCTCTTTGAGGAATACGATCTCTTTCTTCTGCATTGGCTGGGACACTGATAGTAAAGAGAAGATCCGAACGATCCGAATTGAGATACACTGGCAATGATACCTTGTCAGACTTGGTTTGCATATCACGCTTGATCCAGCTGATACGGCTTTGGGGTAATTTGACAGAAGGTTGAGACGTAAGTCTAACTTCATTCTCATCCCATTCACCACCTTCCATCTTCCAGCCACGAATGTAATAACCAGGTTGTTGTCCATCACATTCAGCACCAATATCCACTTCCAATACAAGTTCTTCAAGTGACCACTTATGACGTTGGGCAGTTGCTTGACGTGATGCCGTGATATAAGCTTCAGGGCTGAAAAGACCTCCCATCCAAACTTGCATTTGATCAAGGTTGGTTTCTTGTGCGATAGATGCCACTTGTTCAAGACGTGAATTGAGATCGGCAATCCAAACATGAAGAGGGATATTCTTCGGAACCTTGTAGCGTCGCCAATGATCAGGGATCAAGCCCTTGGTCAACCAGCTCATCAATTGACGCAAATGATTAGTCTGCTTGAGCTCGCCACTGCACACCTTTTGAAGATTGGAAAGATCATCACGAATAATGTGAAGCAATCGACTGGCCAATTGATTCTCACGCTCAAAGAAGCGGAAGAGAGGATCCATGATACCACCACTGTCACGTTGCATACCAGGAATCTTTGTAGGCAAAAGTTCAAGCCAGCTAGTGATCGATTGGCTCAAAGCTCTCATCCATGCTGGTTGTTGACTTGTGCCGGATTGTTGGGCTGCCGTGTCGTTATCGGTATATGCCACCTCGTCATCATCGCTTGTACTCTTCATCTTGCGCACCTTCGAAAGCATAGTGTTACCCTTAAGAGTAAGCAAGACACGCTCGGCATTAGCTGGTAGACCAAGCCATGTAGGAGGTTCTCGTTCGGGAAGCTTGTTGACCCATTCCATGAATTGTTCCATCTTGGTACCATCAGGCACAACAACCGATTTTTCATTATCACCCGTGCTCTTGACGATCTCAAAGTCCAAGTCATAACAATGTTGTGTGAATAAGGTGTTGACAAATGAATCCAAAAGACGTTGATCATATTCGTTATCAATGCGGCCACCATAAATCGATTGCTTGAGAAGTGAACGGATGGCATCCCATGGAATCTTTTCAGGGGAGATATTGGCACGGCCACCAGCAGCTCCATCAAGCCACTTGTCAATGGTATTGAATGCAGAGTCTTGATCCGAATCGTTGAATTCATACACCTTGGTCCAACCCAATGGAACGTATCGCAAACGTTCTTGCACCACAGCATGTAGCCATGCAAGCATGAAATAAAGACGTACTCGTTCTGTTGGTCCTCGAGAAAGACGCGAAGGAGGAATGCTACGGAGCGATTCTTGCAAGTTGGCCTTGATACCAGGTGGTGGCTCAAACATCAACACACGAGACATGCGTAGCAAGTTGACAGGCACCTTTGGATTGGTTTCCATAGTCAAGAACAAGCGGAATTGAGGATGAGGTTTCATGCTATGCAACTTCTTCTCCAGCTGACCAAGCCATGATGGCGCCAAGTGCACGTTCTTGAGCATAACCCAATTGCCGGTCTTGATAGCAGTAGAAATGGCTTGATCCGCAAGTGTAAAACCTTCAGCAGAGCCCATAGCAACGGAGGTACAACGCATGTTGGTTTCAGCGACAAGATTGTCAACACGATAACTGGCATCATAGCCTGGTACAGAGCAAAGTGCAAGTGGTGTGCTGCTGCCAACCTCTTCCTTGACGATTTGTTGCAAGTGTAATTCTTCCGAATTGGTGAACTCGGCTCCAAAGATCTCTGTGGCAAACATGGTAGCTGCGGGCAACAAACGATCTGGGCGGAAGCATTTGATAAGCAACATACGACGAAGAGCATCCACAACAGCTATAAAGAAAAGTTAATATGACATTGCTAATTGAGTAATAAAGCGACTTACAATTTCGACCAGCATCATCCCAACAGGTTGGTACGATATTCTCAGCTTGACCTTGTTCAATGAATTGTTGCCAATCACTTTCGTTTTGTTGAATGTGTTCACACAAGCCCTTGAAGCATGGTAATGCCATGAATTCCTTTGCACGTTGAGCTGTCTCATCATTGAGGAAAGTGGGAAGACCAAGACTTGCTGCTGTGATTGTTGATCCAGGTACAATATCACCGCCGCTGAGCAAAAAGTCGTATTCGGCTTCATCGACGCCATGTTGAGCACCCCGCATTTGAATTTGGCACATGAGCACAGCCAAAGTAATATGATCCTCATGCAAAAGGGTGCGAGTAGCACGCTTGTAAGTCACCGAGAATAGATCACGCGATAAGATGTTGAGACGCTCCGTGGGATCCGTGATGGACTTGAGGTTGGGGTTGTCATGCAATACGTATTCAAAGATCTCATAGAAAAAGTCGAGCGAGAATTGATAAAAGTGATGAATCAAGTTGAGTTGCTCGATAACGAAAAAGATGGAGCTGCATGCATGAGCCAATGGTGTATACACGGCAGTCGTTTGTTCCACTTCTTGCATAACAGTGTTGGTCTCATCCACCTTGCGTGTAACTTCAGCTGCTTCCTTCTTGAGAGTCTCCAATGTTTCAATCACATGATCATCATCAAGGATGTTGCCCTTGGATTCATTCAATGCCTGCAACAATGACTTTTCGAGATGACGCAATTTGAGCTGGAATTCACCTTGCAGCTTGATCAAATCCGTACGACGCTGATCAACATCGGGTCGTTCAGCCTTGAGCACCTTGTTCAAACATTGACTTTGCAAACTACCACGAGTAACAGTAAAGTTGACAAAGGTGACACGAGAGCAAATATCGGGTGCAAAGTTGACTGAAGGATCACGTGTCGAGAGGAAGAGCGTGAATGTGGGTGAAAAGTCGATATCTTGGCTGCCGAGTCGAATCAATACACGACCACCAGTGCGACGCAATTCCTTGTTGAGCACAGGATTCAAAATTGGATCGAGGTGTTCCACATCTTGAATCAAGATAGGGTTGCCGAAACGTAGAGCACTTTCAAGGTTCTTGATAAACGAGTCATCCAAAAAGCTGGTAACAGTAATCTTGCGATCCTTGTATTCGTTGACCAAAAAGTTGGTTGCTTGTCCCGAAGGATCAATGATGAGTGGGTAACGATCAAAGCGCTTCAACATGATGGCGTTCTCGATACATAGGTCATCTGCAGGAAGCGAGTTTTCTTGCCATGAGAGGCGATCATCCGCACTAGACAAGTACTCGGTCAAGGCCATGTCTTGCTTGAATTGGATGCTGGCTGCAACCAAGTGATCGGTCCATTTGGCAATCAATAGTTCACGATATTGTTGATCAAAGTAACCACCATAAGCCAAGAAGGCTGCTGACAATAACACATCACCAACGATGGTACCCATTTGGCTCTCGAATGCTTGGCTTGCTGCTTCCCAACGGACCTTTTCAGAGGATAAGCTGCTGAGCAAGGTAACACTACGATCCACCTTGGACTTGACACGATCCATTTCAGCCTTGATGAGCTGTGTTTCACCCACAAGTGCAGCGTACTCTTCCTTGTAACGTCCAATACTTGCTTCAAGATCCACAATCATTTGCTCAATATCAGAAGCCTTCTTCTTGGTATCCTCCGCACTTTGCTCCAAACGAGTAACCTCTTCACGCAATGGGCCAACACGATCGAGGATATCAGAGTATTGCACTTGAGCACAGACCCACTTGACCAAAGGACCACAAGCCTTAGAAGCACGGTTGACAGCATCATATTCGAACGAGGGATTGTTGAGATAATTGCGTCGCATGTATTCACGAAGCTGCTTGGTCATTTGAGTTTCAGTCTTGTAGTTGACAATGCTGGCAATAAAGTCATCACGACGAATGATACTTTGAACGGTCTTCCAGCTTTCGATCTTGTGGCCGAGCATGGTGCATACAGCTTCCATAGACAACTTGACAGCTTCAGGAGGATTACCCATAGCACGCACTTCGGTAAGATGTTGACGCTTAATGTTGCTGACACTCTTTTGGGCTTCCAACACGGCAGGCTCTGCATTGGCAAGATCATTCAACACAATGGTACGACGTTCTTGAATAACCTATACGAGAAAATGTTAAGAAATACATACAATAAAAATTGGGTTATCATTTATCTTTACCTTGTTTTGGACTTCAAGAGCTTCTGAAATTTGGATCGAATCAGCCTTCTTTTGCTCAGCTTCCTTTTCATCAGCCAACATTTGATTGATCTTTTCATTGGCTTGAGCGTTCTTGGTCTCCAATTGGTTCTTCTTGATAGCCAAACTCTTACGCAATTCCTCGACCTTGACGACAGTATCCTTGAGCTTCTCAAGACCAACGTTCAAATGGCGTTGTTGTTCTTCAAGATCCTCACGCTTCTCATTGTACAATCGAACATAGTGCGAGATGAAATCCAAAAAGTGACGAGGTGTAGCATAATTATGGCGGCCTTGACGCTTGCTGAGTTTAGCATTGATTTCATAAAGCGATTGATGAACAAAGACAAGAGCATTGACAACCACTTCACGATGAGATGGTGGGATCGGCAAGTTGCGGTAGGCGATAGGAATGTTGATAGGTGCATTGTATACAGGAACATCGAGATCGAGTGTCTTTGTGAATTCCATACCCACTTGATAAAAGGCTTGATCGGGCCAATCACCAAACCAATCCAGCACACAACGATTGAACAAAGCAGGCGAGGTAGCGGCACGTGATGCAAGACCGCCTTCAGGTGGATTCATTGTGAAGACGACGTGAAGGTTACGAGCGACTTGCTGGTTGAACCACTTGTACAATTCTTCACCCGAATCGAGCATGAGACCTTCACGTTGAGCACCTTCCTTACAAGCTGTCATCAAGGATGCATATTCATCGCCTTCGAACAAGCCAGGGACTTCAGCATTGGCAAGCAATGTATTCATGCGTTCAAGGAAACCGGAATCGAGCACATTGGATTCATCCATGATAAAGCAAATCTTTTCACCTTTGCAGCCTGCACGTCGAAGCACGGATCGCAAATCATCATCGAAATCAGCACCAGTGTACTTGTTGTGCACCTTGATTTGGAACACACTCAAGCCATTCATCCAAGCAACAAATCGAGACAAGGTAGTCTTGCCTGAACCACTGACACCAATAAGCAACAAATGGCCTTGAGGTTGACGGAAGACACGATCAATACGCAAGACGTGTTCAAGGACATCATTGAACAATACAAGTGGTACATCAAGCTCTTCTTCGTAGAACACCTTAAGACGAGCCTTTGCAAAGTCACGTAATGTTTCACGATCCACAGGGATATAGTTCTTGGATAACCAGTTGGAGAAGAGAATAGGTCGCTCCAAAGCTTCTTCTTGATTGATAGCAGGGAAGTGCTTTTGGGCAATCGAATCGATCATTTCATCGGTCCATCGTCGTTCTTCTTCATCCACCAAACGGTCTTGGAACAAGCGCAATGCTTCATGAGCCCAAATACGCACCAAGCCTTCCACTGTCAAAGTCTCCAATGGCTTAATGGCTTCAAAGATACCACGAATCCATCTTGTCAATTCACGAGGCGAGTAAATGTAATGTGCTTGGATATCAGGAGTAAAGCGTCGCTGAGATGCCAAATAAAGTTCGACCATGGCAGCTGTAAGTGGTTCTGAATAACCCCGGAGATTGGGCACCACCTTAAGCATAGCACGTGTGAATGTACCATAAATCTGAATAAGCGACGTTTGACCAGCATAGTCCACCATGACCAAAGGTGCATGACGTAAGAAACGATGAGACAGAGGCACACGACCAGGATCAGTGGGAGGATTACAGGCACCAACGAATTGAATACGCTCCAAAGTGACCCAAGCCTTATCAGTGGTACGCCAAAAGCCATTGTATTCGACCAGTTGACGCAAGAATGAAATGACTCGTTGGGTGTTGTACTTGTCAGTGGCAGGCAAATTGATTTCATCACAAAAGACAACGAGCCAACGACCAATCATAGTGGGTGACAAAATAACACCGTTAGGCGTCTTGCGGTACTCGCAGTGTTGTTCAAAAGTCTTGAGAATGAGATCAGGCGTGGTGGCACTCGAAAAGTTAAGACCAACAACCTCCATATCAGGCAGCTTACGAAGAGCGCTGAAGAGAGTCATTGTCTTACCGGAACCAGGGGGACCACAAAGAATCAATGGCTTGTGTTCTGATAACCATGAATACAACACCTCCTCATGACGAATCGTGTCCACCGTAGGAATAATGATATCAGCTTCGGAAACCTTGTGGGTCTCAATTTCAACAACAGGCACCTTCGATTCCCATGGCACCCATTGACCACTGCTCACAGCAATATCATAATCGATGATGGTAGTATCATTGCCCAATGGAGGAAGTTCATAGGTGGTAACACCACGAACAAAGTCGCCAAGCACTGCACGCAAATCAAGTTTGGCATCACCCGAGAAACTCCAAATGATCGAGTAAATGATACGTTTGGTGATGTATCCTTCAAGGTGGTCACCGCCCATAGGGAAATCTGGATGCTGGCTATTGTATTCAAGCACGTTGCGCACCGTCTTGTTGAGCAAAGAGAAGAATGTCGACAAAACACGCATGCGAGTGAAGTCCATAATGTGCTCAAGGGTTGCAGCATAATTCAAACACTTGGCAACAAGGCCATCTTCATCTGATAGATCGGCAGCCATAATGGTGGCAATTGAACGCTGAGTAGCCAAGTTGGGTGATACAGAGGCAACCTCGTCTGTTTCAGTCATGCGACGTGAAGTAGGTCCTTCTTCTTCAATTTCATCCATGGGCACGTTGCGAAGCGTTTCAAGATAGTTGCTGAAGATCATGGGAAGGGTGATGACATCCTCACTGAACCAAACCATACCACAACGAGAGACGGTAGCAAGGGTAGCGTATTTCAAGGTCTCGACTTCAAACATGATGCGGACATTGGGTGGCAAATTGAGACGTTCACCATTTGGCAGAGTCAACAAGCGATTATCATCCAATACTGAATTCAAGTTCTCAACCCATTCGGGATCAACGTCACCATCAAAGATGATCCAATGTCTCTTTTGGCTTTCACCACGCACATTGTCGACGATCTTGCGCAAAATGTGGGTAAACAAACCATCGGTCCATTCGCGAGTCGTGGCATCCAATGTACCATAAAGAGCATCCTTTGGAATGGCCTTGGGATCAATGGTGTAGGCAATGCCTTCGACGCCCTCCACACGCTCCAAGGCAGTGAGCAATGTCTTCCATGCGGTAGATTTACCAGAACCAGAAGGACCAACCATCATCAAACCATGGTGGATATTTTGAATTTGATAAAGCTGGATCACCTTCTCCATCCAAGCATCACCAGGCACAAGACGACGTTCTTCGCACACCTTCTTAAGCTCTTGCTTGAGGCGATCCAAATCAACAGGTGCATATTCCACGCCAGGGAACACATCAGCCAACAAGCTAAGAATAAACAATGAGCATGGTTTCATTGTTACACAGCATGATTGATACCTACCTTGTCAACAATGGAATATCATCGGCCACAAGCTTGGGTACCATGGTCTCTCGAATACTAAAAGTAACATTGTATCAATATATGCCTAATGACCAAAGAATAAATGAAAAAAAGTATTTACCTTGAGATGAGCAATTGTTGTTCAGGCACCGTTTCGGAGATGTTTGCATATTCAGATTGGTCCTCCTTGCCTTCATCAATAGCCTTGCGCAAAGAAGCCAAGCGATCACGTTTGAGATTACCAGCACTGACAAGCACACTCTTGAGAGCACGTAGACCGAAATCGTAATGGGATTGAGGCGAGAGTTGTTCAGCGCACAAATTGAACAAAGGCACAACCTTGGAGGCAAGGGTTTCAGCTGTACGGAAACCTTGTGAATAAAGCATGACTTGAGCAATAAGTTCACGATCAGGCTTGGTCATAGCAATGCTACGGAAGAGCTTCTTCAAGTTGTCGGGCAAGTTGGATCGACCAGCGTAACCAGGGTTCATAGTGATGAAGATACCCGTGTCAGTGTTGACCTTCACGTTGCGACCCACAAGCTCGATCTCGTGATTGGGATTGGTGGTTGATTCCTTAAGACCCAATTGGATGGTTTGCACTTGTTGAGAGACAGCTGACAAGATACGTTCCTCCAAACGATTGAATTCGTCAAAGCAGCCCCATGCGCCCACTTGACACAAACCAATAAAGATACGACCCATAGCTTGGAAATCAAATGTTTCATCACAACAGAAAACGAGGACAAAGCGACCAAGTTGTACACCAAGAGCTTTGACGGATTCGGTTTTGCCGGTACCTGCAGGACCAAATGGAGAGCCACCAAGACGTTGTTCCAATGCTTGAGTCAATGTCAAATAACAACGATCCGTCAATGGGGTTTGTACAAGGCGATCCACCACACCAAGGTATTCATAGCCATAATAGAATTGAGCATTGGCCATGTTGATAGACAAACGATGGATGGGATCTTCGATAGTGCCATTAAAGTAATAACGCATCTGGTACAGCCAATCAAAGTCTTTGGGTGATCGAACATTGTTGGCAAGTAGCTGTCGACTCACATCACGTTGATGCACGAGCTCGGTGACAAGATGCTCACATTTACGCCGCTTGATGATTGACAAGTCAAGTAACACAGCATCAGCCAACACGTTCAAATTGCGTTCCACAAGTGAAATGGCACTTTGCAATGGCTCAGTATCATCATTGGCAGATTCGGACATGGTGTTCAGGGCCTTATCCACAGAGTGCGTCCAAATGGTTTGAGCAGCAAGCACCACAAGCTGAGCAGGATAGCGATCGACCCAACTCATAAACTCTTCAGAGTTCATCTCATCGGCGTTGTAAATGGTCTCAAGTTCATTCACGGCATCCGTCAAAAGCATGGCAAGAGATACACGCATCTCCTTTTCAAGCAACGTAAGCCAATCGTTGATTTTGGGATTGTCCTTGATCGAAACGGGGGTCTTGAACAGCACTTCTTCTCCTTCCTTGGAAGCCATACCCATGATCTCGGTATTGTCTTCGTTCAATAAGATGGTAGCAATACCAGCAAACATCTTCTTAAAGTGCTTCTGGATACGCAATACGTCCTTGCTGTTACCAATGATCTCCAACAAATCTTCATCACCAACAAAGTAGAAACGAGGGAAGGAAGCACGCTCACGTTCAAGGTATTCACCCAATGCCTTTTGAATCTTGCTCAAGAGATCAGCAAGGCGTTCCAATGACTTTTGGATATTGGGGATGTTGAGCACGTCAAGAACAAAAGGCGACTTGTACACCTTCTTCATCACCGTCAAGAATTCAGTATTGATGCTTTGGAAGCGGGATGTCTCCACTGGCAACAAATGCTTAATGTCAACGCTGCCGCTGAAAATGCCTTCCAAGTAAACCCATTGACGCTGTACATCGATCCATACATCGAAAAGCACGTGCACACGATTCAACTTGTCTTCCCAAGAAGAGGCATCTTCTTCAAACACCTTGTAGTAGGGAGATAATTTCATAGCAGCCAAAGAGTTGATATGCTCACTCGACTTGTTGAATAAATCATCCCATCCACGAATCAAACGGCATCGGTTTTGATAGTTGACGAGGTCGAGAACATAGTTGGCCCAAGTTTCCTTGACTTGTTTCAAGAATTCTTCAAGTGCCATTTCACCTTGTGCTTGCAAAATGACATCGCGGAGTAGTTGCTCGTTGCGTTTGAGATCCAAGTCCCACAAGTGACCAATAGTCATTTCAGCAAGGGTAAAGCGACCTTCCACCTTGAGAGCCTTAAAGATTTGGCGCCAGTGACGCTCACGTAGAGCTTCGGATTTGAGATCAGCGACAAGAGGATTGACACGCAAGAGTTGACGAAGCACATCTTGTACGTATTCATAGGCAGCATATTGACGCATGCGGTTGGGCATCTCCTTGGTGGAGTTAACAAGCTCGTCAACATGTTGACGGATCTTTCGAGGTACAACAGAGGACCAAGTTGTCTCACGAATTTCACCCAAAGCATTCCACACATTGGCCAAAGCTGTCCAAACCGATTTGAGATCGCGCAATTCCTCCAACACTGGCTCAAGACGAGCTTCAGATGTTTGCTCAAGATCAAGAGCTTCCTTGGCACGGCAAACCATGTCATATTCCTCCTTCAATCGTGTGACACGACCTTCAAAGATGCTAAGTGTGTTGGTAGCAATATCCGGTTTGATGTCTCCTTGCACAGGCTTGCTCTTTTCCCACTCGGCGCAAATGTCACGAATCTTTTGTTCAACGACCTTGTCCTCAGCGACAATCTTCATTTGCAAACCAGCTATGTCACACAAATGTTAGTGCATTGCATATATATATAAACATAATCCATATGTAGGAACTTACCAATTTGCTCTTGGATAGCATTGTTCTTGCGGCTGAGAATTTCATTGAATGCACTCCATTCACCATCCACTTGATCAACGTATACCCAGTCGTTAGGGAATTGGAATCGTTGGCGCTCCAAAGTCTTTTGACCTTGTCGGAAGAGCTCGACATCCTGAGTCCACTTGGCAACCTTACGCTTAAGATCTTGCACAAAGGTGATAAACGTAACGGCTTCACCGGTAGAATTGCTCTCAATCGATTGCTGTTCAAGCTCATAGCGTGCCTTGGAGACTGATACATGGAAGTCTTTCATGGCTGTACCAAGCATGCTGCCAAACTTGTTGAGGATCTCACGTTGCCATTGATCGTACTTTTGGTTGACCTTGCTCTGGACTTGTTCATAATCGACCACCAAAGGACCAAACGGTTGTTCGGTTTCAGAATTGTCGAATGTGCTGCGTGCCTTTTTGATTTCCAACAAGATTTGTTGCCACTTTGACAAGTCATCACCAAGAATATTGAACACATGATTGGATTCGAGATCCCACAAGGATTGATATTGTAACCAAATGTTGACATACTCGGATACTTGATTGATCTTGTCCTCAATGATTTGGTAAGCCGATTCGAGCGAGCCATCACCCAAACGCGTAAGGAGGCTGGAGTACGACTTTTCAACACTGGGATTGTCCTTCACACTCAAACCACCTTCATATCGCGAGCTTTGGATACGAGGCAAATGACAAATGGTGGAAAGCCAATCATGCAATTGAGACCACCAGCTACCACGAGCATGTTCAATAGGTGGGTCGAGATACATGAGCTGATTTCTGATACGAATTTCATGCACAAGCGTTTGCAAAGCAGGCTTCACATCAGGTGACTTTTGGACAGCTGCAATCTTTTCTTCCACAACGGCCACTTCACGTGCATTCGCCTTACGCTTACGGCGGCTCTTTGAAATGCTGACTTCAGGAATGATAGCTTCTTCATCAATGCCCTTGAAGCTGTTGGACCATGCCTTGATGGCTTGTTGCAAACGACTGATCAATACGCTCTCAATGCGCTTGTCCAAACCAGCAACCCATTGATCGAGATTGGAGTAGTTTTCCAAATTAAGTCTATCAATCTTTTGATAAAATATCAGCATTAAAGTGTCAAGTACAAAGAGAATCAAAGATAATACATACCAGCTTTTGGATTCTACCAAGAGCATCCTCGAAGCGTTCGACTTGATAAGGACATCCCTTCATTTCCTCGATACTCTTGTTGATATCATCATAGTATCCAATGAGAGCGTCAACCTTGTCTTGGAAAACTGAAACGACATTCGCAAACTCGCGTACAAAGTTGACGTGGCGGTTCTCACGAGTATCCAATGGGCTGCCGGTGATATAAGAAAGAGGTCGGTGATGACCATCATAGGTGTTGACAAAGTAGTCCCATCGCAAGTTGATACCTAAAATTTTATGCGTTAGATGATAATTTGTAGTCATACCATGCACAGCTTACCTTTGGTAATCATCACATGCACCTCGTTACGGTATCCAGCGACAAGCGTACTGATATCAGGGTTTCTGTTGACCTTATGGACGGTTTGAGAAAAGGTACGTACAGCTTCCATAAGGCTGACAGCAAATGGGTAAACACGCTTGGCATCTTTGGCGACGTTTGAAATGGTATGTGGCACGGGATAGTTGAGCCAGAGGAGGTTGCGGACTTCTTTGAAGAGTGTAATAATTTGACCATCAAAGTTGACACCAAGCTGAAGAGAGTTTTGTACTCGGTTGCGTGAGATCTCGAAAATGCGTCCTGATACTGAAAGGTCACGTTTGGTGATTTCTTGTAACCAGTTGTCGTAGATGAGTCTGGTATCCAATTTCTTTCGGAAGCTGTTGCTCTCATATTGAAGCTTTTGACCTTCAGCATACAACTCCCATCCTTTGCCGAGGACATCTTCCACTCGCTTCATATACAAGGTGAGTTGTCGTTCGATTTGTCGAGCCCATACAATGGCACCGGAAATAGGAGGAAGGTCACGTAATTGAGCCATCATGTACGCTTCGGAATTACGATATTGCATCTTGAACTTGTCGTGAAGCTTATTGATATCTTCCTTAACGCTATCAATCAACTGCGTCTGATATTCTTGGATAGCACCACGAATCTTGGGGCGAACGAACAATGCATTGAACTTTGAGAATACACGAAACATCTCATTGGCGCTCTTGGCAGTACCAAGACGATCTCTCAAACGGGCAATGATTTGGTTCTCTACACGCGACACACGATCATTGTATGCGTTCTCAGCTTGCACCCAGATCTCAGTTCCCTCTATTTCATATTCATCATTATTAGTTTCCATTGTGTGCTGAGTAATGAGGGGGAAAAGTGTTACTTACCAGGAGTAACATCAAGCACATCAATGTTCTTGACACTTTCATAGGCAAGCTTAACTTCCTCCACAGCGTTGATATCACTGATGCTAATGCTTTCCTCTTCTTCCATGACGCTGTTGACTTGGCCATCAACGACAACAGTGGACTTTTTGGCACGAGGACTGGTCATGACACGCACAATCGTTTGATGAAGTTGCTCATGTTGCTTTCTAAAAGCACGAACAAAGGTGACTCGTTCCTGAAGCTTGGCATGAGCTGCATTGATCTTGATCGGCATGAACTTTTCAGAACGCTTTCGGGTGACATCACGAGCAACATTGGTGAACTCCTTGATAAGATCATCCCATGTCTGGAATACAGCCTCAGCACCAGCAGTTGTCTTTTCAAAATCATCATATTCCATGTACATGAGACGACGACTTCCAAGGACCTTGAGAAGTTGGTCATTCAAATCACGAGAAATGGCTTCGACAAGTGGCAATGCACGACGAATAGGATAGGGTCTATGCATAGAAACCTAGTTAGTAAGAGTAAACCATAAGCAATGAATGGGATGTATACATACGAAAGCTTAAGCTTCTTGTTCAAGTGAGCGAAAATGAGGAACAATGATTCACGGATCTTTTCAACATCAGTGGCCGAGAGCAGCTCATTGAGAGGGAAGTCTTTCATCAGCTGGTTGTACTTGTGGACTATAGGACAATGGTTCATATGAGCTCCTTTGATATCATCTACAATTTTTTGAGTGTTCATGATATACCTAATTCCATTTGCTCCTTGAGACCGGTATCAGCAATGAAACTGACAGTGGCATGGAAACGTTTGGCATGCTTCAAGATATCCAAAGTCAATGCTATAGGAATAAGGCTAAATTAATACACTTTGATGAAAAGAGAATAGCCTAAGAGATGCTTACTGATTTGATCACTCTTGAGTTGCTCATTGATCTTTTCAAGTGCACGCTCCATGCTCAACCAAAAGTTGATTTCTTGAATAGCTGTGCCGTTTGCGGGATCACGAGACATGTTGGTGACCTTTTGAATCTCCTTGATCCAACCATTGACATCTCCTTGCAACTTGTTCAAGAATGCTGAATCCGAAAATAAGCTGGCATCGATAGCATCCACGGTGACGCGCTTGCTTTGTTCACGGCACTATGATATACAAGTGATTAAGAGGGATGCAATGGGATGTATATAGACCCAAATGATTACCTTGTCGACGGCTTTTTGGACCACGGGATGAATGTTGAGAGAGATATCAGGGATTTCAACATTTTGCTGCAGGTGAAGCAAGCTGAGTTCAAGTTCAGCCATCTTCTTCTTGGCCATGGGAACACCCATCTTGTTGTCCTCATTCTTGCTCTTGCTGCTTTCAGCTCCCACAGTACCATGTCTTGCATTAACGTATGCATTGAAATAAGGACTGACGGCGAGATGGATGTACGAGTGTAGAAATTCATAGGCACTAGCTTGACCAGGCTCACTTGCATTAGGTGCACCAGGCAAGTTGATAAGCTGAAGTTGAGCTTGTAAAGGACGTGATGGATCCAAAGTAGCTGATCGTTTGATGATAGCAAGAGAACCAACGTGGGTAGGCAAGTACGTGATCTCTTGTGAAAGGGAATACGAATAGGTGATCGGTGTAGCTTCATCTAAAATTGCGTCTTTAGTGTATGTGTCCCCTTGCTTAGTCCTCCCTCCCTCATCTTGTTGTTTACCTTCATCCTTGCCACCTTCTCGTTCCTTGAGTACAAAGAGAACTTGGCTTTGTGCATCGGATGCAAATCTCTTGAACTTTTCAATGGTATCCGGATATGCAAAGATGCTGTTTTGTAGATCTGATAAGTCTGCGCCTAGCACCAAAGGCAACAACTGCTCCAAATATTCTTGTAGGTCTTTGGGATCAAATGCTAGCAACGTCTCTGAAGATGGGCCAGCATTGCCGATGGAAGGCACCGGGGCGAGAGCGGATTCATCCTCCAACATGATGCACCAACGTGTCGACTAGTGCGGGGTGTGGAAAGGTTGATAACAAGTGTCAAGCTTCCTATACAATGAGGGTCAGCATGTCATTCATGTGTCTATAACAGAGCAGCGACTTGCCTGAATGTAAGAGATGAATGTATAAATTAGGCTTGAGCCTTTTGTATCAAGTGGAGGATAAAGAAGCAGTAGGGCCCCAGATCTCTTCGGGTCGCATTTTTCTGACGCGAGTCCGCCGCCAACGTCAAGTAAATGTTTCATCTTATTGGATGCGGAGTGGTGCCTGACAAACCTACATGCACGTGTACCTTGCAAATCATCACATCCCCACTCAACCCAAGCTACTCTAAAGCAAATGTGTTCATACATGTCATTAAATCGATGTTGCATACCTATGATATTTATGCTGGTGGTCTGTTGTATGTTGTGAATATTACAAGGGGTTAAGAACAAGAAACTACAACATTGGGTGGTGGTATACAGAAGATAGTGAATCAACGCTTCCATCAACCAAAAGGATGGAGATACCCCATTTTCGGCACACTTGGGATACCATAGCCAATCCGATGGATCATCGAACATCGGTTCTTGAGAGCGTCAATAAGCATGATATAAGCCGCATGGTTCAGATTTAAGGTTTTTAGGTGATTCATTCATTTCTTCTTTGTGAGTCCTACTATTGTTGCTATTGGATGTTCGTGATGGTAGGACCTGAAGGAGACATTCTCTTAATTACTTCCTTTGTGAGCTATGGTTTATTGGTTGCATACATGTTGTTGCTGCCGCATTTCAAAGATAGGGTGACATTGGGCAAAGAAAAGTTAATATTCATTGTCGATAACTATCCCATGTACCATCACATAATTGTGTTTATTGTCGTTCAAGTAAGAGGATCGGCATTATCTCAGCTATGGCAAGAGCCATTGTGTCGCTGTTGATCAAGCCGCTCAAAGTGAAACAAATTCGTTATTGCATACAATGTATCATTGCCCAAATGTGATCCTTGTTTATATAGGATTGGTAATTGTTACTTGCAAAAAAAGAACGTTGTGATGATTAATTGAATTGGATGACCATCTTTGCACGAGCGCTACTACTACGTAGGTCAAAGGAGCAGCAAGGATCATAAGCCACCATGTGAAAAGGAAGCCTTTTATTTAAATAACGCATGGCAACCATAGGGTGTAATAGTAGCATAGTGGTGGTTGCATGGCAACAAGATGGGAGATGGGATGCTGTCAAATGGAAGTATAATATCCCAGCTGTCGGATTCAGCTTCCAGCTTGTACGTCATCCGTGACTCGTCCAATTGTTTTTGTTAGCCCCTTTACACCCCTCCCGCGTGGTTGTTCTCTTTGCTTTGTTTCTTCCATGTATTTCGCACGCGCTTTTGGAAAGGCCTCCACGAACGCCCTTCGTGCACAGAGAGCCAACGCTCGTCTTATTTCTCGTGTTGCTTCCCCCGCTGTTGCTGTCAAGGGTAATTACACCAATCCAATCGCTTATTTCTTTTCCTCATTCAAGGGATCTAACGTTGTTGTTGTTGTTTTTCTTTGAAGCTCGCGGCTATGCTACCGAGGCTAATGCTGGTCAGATTCGGTAAGATGACTTTTACAATGCTATGTCAACTTGTTGCTAACCATCTTATTACATAGCTCCGTTATTGGTGCCGTTGTTGACGTTCAATTTGACCAAGAGAACTTGCCTGCTATCTTGAACGCTTTGGAAGTCAAGGATCATGCTGGTGGTCGTCTTGTTCTCGAAGTTGCCCAACACTTGGGTGAGAACACTGTTCGTACCATTGCCATGGATGGTACTGAAGGTAAATATCATTTGCAATGGGGATTGAATATAAGGTTATGGGGATTTATTTATTGACACATTGTATAACTTTTGTAGGTCTTGTTCGTGGCCAAAAGGTCGTTGACACTGGTGCTCCCATCACCATCCCTGTTGGTAACGAAGTCCTTGGTCGTATTATCAACGTCATTGGTGAGCCCATTGATGAGCGTGGTCCTATCAAGTCCAAGGCCACTCGTGCCATTCACGCTGATGCTCCCGAATTCGTTGATCAATCCCCCACTCCCGAGATTCTTGAGACTGGTATCAAGGTTGTCGATTTGCTTGCTCCCTATGCTCGTGGTGGTAAGATTGGTCTTTTCGGTGGCGCCGGTGTCGGCAAGACCGTCTTGATTCAAGAGTTGATCAACAACATTGCCAAGGCTCATGGTGGTTACTCTATCTTCTGTGGTGTCGGTGAACGTACTCGTGAGGGTAACGATTTGTACCATGAAATGATTTCCACTGGTGTCATCAAGCTTGAAGGTGAATCCAAGTGTGCTCTTGTCTTTGGTCAAATGAACGAACCCCCTGGAGCTCGTGCTCGTGTCGCTTTGACTGGTTTGACCATTGCCGAATACTTCCGTGATGAGGAGGGTCAAGATGTGTTGCTCTTCATTGACAACATTTTCCGTTTCACTCAAGCTGGTTCGGAAGTGTCCGCTTTGCTTGGTCGTATTCCCTCTGCTGTCGGTTACCAACCCACCCTTTCCACTGATATGGGTGGTATGCAAGAGCGTATTACTACCACCAAGAATGGTTCCATTACCTCCGTGCAAGCCGTCTACGTCCCTGCTGACGATTTGACCGATCCTGCTCCTGCCACTACTTTTGCTCACTTGGACGCCACCACTGTGTTGTCTCGTTCCATTGCTGAGTTGGGTATCTACCCCGCTGTCGATCCCCTTGACTCCAAGTCTCGTATCTTGGATCCCCGTATCGTTGGTGATGAGCACTACTCGGTTGCCACTGGTGTCCAACAAATCCTTCAAAACTACAAGTCGCTTCAAGATATCATTGCCATTTTGGGTATGGATGAATTGTCCGAAGAAGATAAGCTTGTTGTCGAACGTGCCCGTAAGATCCAACGTTTCTTGTCCCAACCCTTCGCTGTTGCCCAAGTCTTCACTGGTTATGAAGGTCGTCTTGTCAAGCTCACTGACACCATCCGTTCCTTCCGTGAAATCTTGGATGGCAAGCACGATAGCCTTCCTGAATCCGCTTTCTACATGCAAGGTGATATCAGCGATGTCATCAAGCGTGCTGAGGAACTTGCCAAGGAAATGGGTGCCCAGTAAAGTAATAATCATATAGTCAAAAAGCATCCTTCCACATAAAATAACATTCAAAAAGAGCAAAAAGAATGATCTATCTCTAATGTTTGTATGTGTGTGTGTGTGTGTGTGTTCATTATGCCAATATGGACCAACAACCCCCTGCATGTGCCTCGATGCAATGCCCGTGCGTGTGCTTCGAGACAACAGGATTGTAGTATATAAAAATGACTCTCTTTACATATGACAAAATGTGCAATGGATGTATACTTATATATACAACTTGAACGTGTGACACCATCATAGTCTTTCCCCGCCCCATTTTCGTTTGCACCTTCTTCTTTACATGTCAGCTTCACAACAACAACAACAGCCACCTGACTGGTCATTTCAAGTGACAGAGAACCTCATCAATCGTGCAAGTGCGAGTCCATTTGGACATGCTTCATCACCACCACCGCCACAACCACCACCACCTGCAGCTGCACAACAACAACAGCAACAACAACAAGATACCAATCGCACTCCACCTTTGATTTCACCCTTACCATCCAATGCAGTAGTCATCACCCCCACCGACCAAGATTCTTCATTTCAGCGTTATGTAGAACATGAGTATGGACCAGCACTTCATAATCGATTATCTGATCAAAGCATGAATAACAACAAGGGGTCAACAGCAGCTTATTCAACCGTGAAAAGCAAGCCATCTTCTGATAATACGACATTGAGGATGGATGACGTGCCTAGTTTTTGGACAGCCCTTGCCAAGGATGGAGATGCCACAAAGAAAAAGCAAGATCAGCAAGAAAAAGGGATGTTACCGTATCATTATGAGACTTGGGGCTATGAATACAATGCAACACCACCTTGGTGGGTCAGTCGATTTGATGAAGATGGATTACTATCAGCTGGTGCTTTGCTATTTCTTTTCGGCTTTATCTTCCCTCCATTATGGTGGATTGGTTCCTTTTGGCCACGAAGACCACGTGAACATGGCGGCAAGATGGCCGAACGATGGCAAAGGTTGAATCGTATCATGTCAATAGGATTTAGTATTCTCGTGGTATTAGCCATTATTATTTGTGTTGCTGTTTGGAAGAGTTAAAGATGCCACCTTTTTTATACCCGATTATCTATTACTGCATGAATAAAACTGAAACAACAGATACAATCTCCTCCTCGTCCTCGTCCTCCTAAGATGATGGCATCGTGCCCATAGATCCTTGTATCGGATTTCTAATCAATGCAAAAAGAATAGTAACACTCCTTTGTACCGGAGCTCTCTTTCTCGTGTCGACAAGGAACATAGCTCATCCACGAGGATGACAAGGAGAAGAGTACTGTATATTCATTGACCTCTTTGAAAAAGAAGGTTCACGGGCATCTACGCAGTAATACCAGGGATGACATAACCCCTTTTGGACCTACACGACACGATAGAAAAATATATTCATAGTAAGCGTATCGTTCAGGAGCAGTGCCATTTAAAGATTATTTGGTATACTTATTTACAATCGCTACTATGTAGACAAGGGGAAGGAGCGACAAAACTCTCCTTTCAAGGAATTGGTTTCCTCCACCTGTCCGCTTGGGTCAATCACCCTTCTCTTTTCTTTTTCCTTTCTCTCTCTCTCTCTCTCTTTCTTTTACACTTTTTTGCCCTTCCGCTCACTAGCCGTACTCACTCAGTACATCCCATCCCATTCTTTTCTTCTTACATTCTCTTATCAAACGAGCCTCTTGTACTGTGTTTATACTACGCATAAGCAATCCATACGCACACTCACGCACAGCACACCCCTCTCGACTATCCCCTTCCTGCTCCCTTAACGCATTTCATTACCGCTTGCTCTTTTCTTTTTTTCACTTGTCTCTTTTTTCCCATTGTCATCAGTCTTTTTCCCTCTACCATATATTCTAGCCCCTCATGGGCAGTAGCAACAACAAACGTAGCAATGATATGGCTCACAAGCGAGGGACCATTTCAACTGCCAACAGCAACACACCCGAGATTCCTCACAAACCAAAACATTTGCAACCCTCTTCTTCACCCAACAACAACAATACAACCACCAAAAAGTCGACCATCATCCACAGACAGCAACCTGCCAATATTGTCACCAACCCCGTTTCTCGGTTACGGCACGGTCGTCTAGGTGATGAACAACCAACACAACAACAACCCATGTTACGCAAGAGTACATCTTCTCGCTTTGGCAAAAATCTGTTGCCTACTTGGTTGGGTGGTGCTAGCCAACAAAGCAACAACAACAATAATAATGCCGTAGCTATCACCCATATGCAGCGTTCTACATCCACGTCATCGAATATCAGCAATACGGATCAGCTGGATACGACGTTTGAAAAATTGCTTGCATGTATCTTTTTTCATTCATTCTCAGAGAGAGTATCTACTTACCCTGTTCTATAGGATGACTTGGATATGAAGGGGATGCAACGTAACAAGCTGCGAGAATTACCTCCTGATCAAAAGATGTATCTACTTGCACAAAATCAGCACCTTACCAATAGTACCAGTAATCAATCCTTATCAGCACGACTCAAATCGTCAGCTTCTTCAACATCGTTGCGTAGCAACAGTCAACAAAAAGAAAAGGAGCAACCATCACCATCACCATCAACCAAACAGAATCAGCAGCAGCAACAACAACAACAACAGAAAAAGCCATCCAAGGTTCCACAACCAAGTACCAAACCTGCACCTGCTACCATTAGCAGTGGTCGTGCGGCAAGTTACAAGTACAACAATTATCGTCGTTTAGCAGCTGCCAACAACCGAAGTTCCAAAGTGGGGTCCATGATCCTTGAATTCGATGCACTTTCCAACCAACCAGAGAACCAAGATGCAGCTGCATGGTTGTTACTTGATGACAAGTCAATCACCCGCCCTGCTCAACCTCCTGTCACCCGCCACAATCAAGTCCAAAGTTTGTCACGAAAAGAAGGTGCCCACTTGGCTTCACTCGTTGAATCCCGTCAACATCAACGTCAAAGTCTTTCACGAAAGGAAGGTGCCAATCTTGCAGCACTCACTGAACAACGTAGCCGTAATAGCCCTTATTATCATGTGGAGCGATTACGCAGCAAGTATGTATGATGATTGGTTTGTGTGTGTGTGTGTGTGTGTGCAAAAAAAAGTCTCTAACAACATGGCACAAGGAACACGCCCACGGATGCCTTGACGAAGCATCTCTCGGCACTCAAGTCTGTTTTATCCACAAGCAATACATCATGGATCAATGAATTCTTGTCAAGACGTCATAATGGATTAACCGCTTTGGAAAGTGTCATGGAAAGGCTTTTGGCCAAAAAGAAAAGGTAAAGCTTTTATTAAACGAAGACCATGTATGACAAAAAAGCTGATGGGCATATTTTTTCAGGCGTGATGCAGATGATTTATGTATGCTTGAATGCGTCAAATGTCTCAAAGTGCTTTTGAATTCTGAGGTAAGGAAAAAGTGGATGCAGGGGTGGATATGAATGAGCGGACAAGTGTGGATGGATGGGTTGAAAGGGGAGAACAAGTTGCCCTTGCATGATAGATATCTAATCTATTTCTTTGACTTTCCTCTCTTTTCCTTTCTCTCTCTCTTTTGGGTGTGCGTGCGTGTGTTTATACTTTAGCCTGGGTTCCACCAAGCATCAATGCGACCCGCTATTCTGCACCAACTTGTTGCAGCTTTATTTGCCAGCCTTGCTATTGCATGCAATAACACTGACAATAGTAGTGGTGGACCCTACCCAACCAATTCAGTGTCCACAGCCACCCTTGTCCATCGTTCACCTTCTGACAGCTCGCTTGGCAGCCTTTTACCATCGACATCTACTACACTTGCAGCTCCTCCTAACGACACTACTACTAATATTACTACTACCAGCACACCATCGGGATGGGTGCTCATAATCAAGATATGCATTCACATTTTCGAGATCTTTTCAACCTTGTGTATGATGTCGCATCAAGGACACAAGCTTGCACTTGCTGTATTTTCAGAGGTGCGTGGCGAGCAATATCGATTCGAGCGGCTTGTTCAACGCATGCGTGAATTGGCAGACGAGGAGCAAAAGGATCAATCCGTTGCCTGGGAATGTCAAGAAGCTGGTATCCAATTGTTCAATGCCTTTGCCAGCTCACCAGAAACGATTGAAACACGTCGATCCATTCGAGGAGAATTGGAGCGTCGTGGATTGGATGATCATCTCAAGGTAAAGTTCAACCACGTGGATGAAAGCTTGTTGCCATGCATACTTATTTATGTGTGGGGATTGCTTTTCTCTTTTAGGAATTGGAGAAAAAGCATGCACCAGAATCGTGCAAGAATGCCATTCGCATGTACCTCGAGGGCAAAAACACTGATATTGAGTTGATCCATGAATTTGAAAAGTCACGAAGGCAAACAGTGTTTCAGCTGTAAGCATAATGATTCCTAACCATCATATGACGTTCTAATCAATCTGCTGTTGTTGTTGTAAAGTCAACCACAGGATATTGTATCAAACGCTTTGGCCAAGTTTTCTGCCGATCCCGAAATTTATTATCTTGTGGTGGATAGCATCAGCCATTTGCTAGAAATGGGAGCTGATAATGTTGAAAACAATCGAAGGTAAAAACATGTCTATTACTAACTCCCTACGTATGCAAGTCAATACCGATGCTGATCTTGTAATTTCCTTTTCTAGATTGGTCAACGACCTATGGACCATTGTCAGCCTTTTTGCCATCAATCTAAAATCGGCCAACAAGACCAACAATCTTCAGGAGCCTATCAAGCAATTCTTACGTGCTGTTCAGCCTATTGTAGGCAAGATTGAAAACGATCCTGGTGCCAACACTGCAGAGACCACGAGCGACCAAATGGCAACAGACACTGATCTTGAAGGATTACGCAATATGGTGGATGAACTTAAGGATGGTCTTGCTCAAAGCGAGGACACAATTACAAAGATTCGACGTGAAAAGAACGAGTTGATGATGAAGATGTCCAAAGCCCAGGCTGAACTTAAGGAGCGAGAGGAGCGAATTACAGAATTACAACGTCATCGAGCATCATCAAATGCATCATCCATCACAACCATTGTATCAGTTGATGAAAAGCAAAAGGATATGGATCAAAGTGTATCATGTGACACAACCATTTTCAATTCCATTGAACCTGTAAAAGATGCACCTCCACCAGCAGCAGCTCCTCCTCCACCACCACCACCTCCACCTCCTCCACCACCTCCTCCTCCACCTCCCCCAC